TATATCAAACACTCGAAAACAGATATGAACATAACATATTGGTACTACAATAAGGTAAAAAACATATATTTAAAACAAAATCTGATATTAGATTTTGAGAATTTGGAATGTTCAAGCTTGTGCTTAATCTTCAGTTTTTAGCATTTACACCTTTTTTTCTAAAAAAAATTTTTAAACGTCAAATAATTGGAGGAGTATTAAATTATAAAGAGACTTTCTAATTTAAAATGAATTAACATAACTAAACAATTACAGCTTTCTAATGTAATACTTAAACTCACCTCCGTACAGCATCAAGGCTTTTCTTTTCAATTATTTTTTCTTCATGTTTAAATGTATATAACATGTCAGATTTCTTGATAATATCTCTTATCACATCAAAATTCAAAACTGCAATAAAGTAACAAAAAAAATCAATGCATATCTATTACTATATTATTCCATTAATAAATTAAATAATCTAGGTATGGAGTAACCTCTTCATTAGAAATACATATATTATACCTGCCATCTTTGTTGGTGTCTGATGCAAAATAAAATTTGCATATAGCGCCCTCAATCTAATAATATTAAATAGAGCACCGTCTATGTTATTTATTTTTTAATTGTAGTGGAATTGCTAAGGATTACAGTTGTCGCGGTCTGTATAGCTTCGTTAAAAGAAATTTATATCCTCCGTATTCACATATTAATGACAAATCCACTTTTAGGAATTTTAAAATATAATCGGCCTATACATTTTATCTTTTGCAAACATTTTTATGGTGCGTGAGATAATGCAATGTAGGTGCGAGATGATACAATGTAGGTATGGAACATGGAGTGTGGATGCTCATGCGTGAGACACACGCACTATGGGTGAGAGTTGGCAGGTGTAATAAAAACAGATGATATATTGTATCTTACTTGTATCTGGTTTAAATCGCTTCATATCTGACCTCAGCTCCATTGCATCGTAAACATGATCTGAAATATTTAAGTAAACTATTTTATACATATTAATTATTACATATTTTTATATCTTTCATACTTTTAAATATATTATTTATGTACTTTTTATTATATTTGCTATCTTATAAAGTACGAACAAAGGCGACATAATTTACAACAATATTCAATTGATACAATACTTACGAACCTTATAATAAATGATATTGACAATCATTATATTAATAATGAGTAAAGTTACCTGATGATTCCTGATGATGACATAATTAATGTCGAAATATTGAATCCCGACACAATGGCGTGTACTAAAGTTACCTTTCATTATAACAATATTAAAATGCCTATAGTATTTGAATATGACCTAACTATTAGTGATACTGTACTGAAGATACTGACACAGGCAACAAAATTAATAATACTTGATAGCATTGTTACTGCTGTTATTGTGTATCTTTCATCAACATTTAGTTGCTGGAATGATTAGCCTACTATACTTATTTACACAGGACGTTATCATTAGTGATGGCACACTCTACCCATAACCGCATAGGCCCATTCTAGGGAAAAACCAGTAAAATATAAACTTTGTTTAATACTTTAATACACTAACCTCGCCTGACACCCATTGCTTCAGCAAGGCTTGCAACTGTCATTGCTTTTTCCACCTCAACAATCTTCTTTCCTTTTCCTTCTCCAAATTTGCTAGGGTCTAATTTCTTCTTTTTCTTGTTGGATGCATAAACTGTTGTTCTAAAATGCCTACTTTGCAAATATGTAGCTGATTTAACTTGGCAATTTTGATATGGTAGGCCTAGAGTCAAGTCTTTGCAATTTTCATGTCTGCATGATTTTGGTATTAATTTAGCTGCTAATGATGAGCTCTTACAAAATGTATGTGTACTTCTAAGCAATTGAGAGGACAGTCTGGTTGATGGATGTGCCATTTTCATCAGGCTTCCTGGTAATAAAACAGAAAACAAAAAAGTAAGAAGAATTTCAATTTGTTTTAGCAGCCAATTTTTAAAACTTAATTTAAATTAATAATACCCAAAATTACATACAAACAAAAATTACAGGAAATTAAATTGAACATGAACCAAAAGTCAGAGAAAAGAAAACTTAAAAGAAAAAATCTGGTTTTATTAAAGGCATTTTCGTATGAAAATCATTACATTTTAAAGGGGACAGCCTATCTAGGGGGATGCACGCCCCTCCAAAAATTACTCGTGCCACCTCCCCTCCTACGTTAAATCACCTTATTTTGCCAGTTAGCACCCCTCAACTGATCATCCAGCTCCCCCACTTCACCTTCTCCCCCCCCCCCACCCCACCCCCCACCCCACCATCAGCACCTCCATCTCAAGACTTCTAGATACGCTACTGCACTGCTTACTTGGACTCTCCCTATTCGGGATCTAGACTAGGGCCTAGCTAGGCTAGGCCTTCCGCTCCATCCATCCATGAACACCAGACACAGAGAGGGCTGCCTAGTTCTCTTCAGCAGACAGCCAGCTAGGCTAGATCTGCTTGGAAATTAATAAAGCTTAGCTGACCGTGCAGTAGCCTAATCTAAGCCCCTATCCTATAATTATTAATGATAAAAATACAATTTTAACACACGCTCTTACTAAGTAGTCTTTAACCTACATATAAGAACATTCTCTGTTCAGTGTATGGATGTGATAAAGCACCAAACTACGGAAATGAGGTTTAGCTCCTACACAACGTAAAATAATAGAAGGAGTTATTCTCATCGTCGTTGCAAGTATAACGAGATATCCAACATCAGAAAAAGACCCCGGCGCGCCACTTAAACAAAATAATCATTTTAAAACAGAGATATGAGAAGTTTTATCACGACATTGGAAAGTAATAAACTTATGGATGGAGAATTTAGATTTGCCACCTAAAATTGTAACTAGTGCTAAAAGAGGTAATGTTCAAACCTTGCGTTTGTTTCCTATTTTAGGAGGCTCACTCGAGTCTAGGCTAGCTAGTAAATAGAAGGAAGCATCCTAGGCTAGCATAGTCCAGGGAGAGAGTGAAATAGGCCCTAGGCTAGCTAGCCTATTGACTGGCTATATGGCCTAGGGCCTAGGCATCCTGGGGCCTAGCCTTAGGCTAGTTAAGACTGGTCTCCTAGTACACTTTCTTATAGATAGGTAGTCTAGCTGTAGATATGTGTGGTTGTAATGGTAATACACTTACAGGTACAGTGGTTAAATCTCTTGTTTGTATTTATTGCCCTAATTTCCTACAAAAAAAAAATTATTTAAGAAAGTGGTTATTCATGATGCCATGGCATAGCCCATACAGGCCTAGGCCTACGCATTGGCTGGTCTAGGGAGAGTAGTGCATTTAAAGATAGCAAAACTGAAGTTTAATTAAGTTTAATAAGCTGGTTCAAACCAATCAAATCAGATTTTTGTAAAAACAAATCACTGGAACAATCATAAGCATTGCCAAAATATAGTCAAAATCAAAGTACAATCAACTTGTTTTAACTTTAATTTGATAGTTCGGTAATTTACACAACAACAAATTGAATGCCTGGGAATTATATTCAAAGAGATAGGATATAGTATATCACCATACTATCTCTATCGGAAATTGTGGGAAGGTGCCGAAAATTCATGTTAATGCTAATTAAAAATGATCTACTGTATAGAGATAAATAGTCTAAGAATCTAATACAGTCTGATACAATGTATAAAAACTCTAAACTGGTTGCAATTGGTAAATTTTTTGTGATTTACATTTATTTAATTCATGTAATTATATATATTATTTAAGCTCTGTCCAGACTCTCATTTTCTTTTGACAAAAAAAAAGTGTTGTATGCCCATATATAGTCCTAGTGTGTGCCTATATGGTTATGATGTGATGTCATCATGACCATATTTAGGCATAATCACATGTTTTTCATAGTCAGGACAGAGCCTATAACAACAGTACTATTATTGGTTTTCACAGCAGGATTAAAGACCTTAGCTTCTGTGCTGTGCCTATCAAAACCAGATTTAGAAAGAGCCACCAACCTGAATTCTCATGAAGTGTCCATACTAGTCCAGGCAGTGTCTGAGGCTGCATATCAAACTCCAATAATAACAGGTTGGTTTTTAATTACTGTAGTCGTATGGATTTTCATGTATTTGTTGATTCAAAATGTACACACATTTTATTTTTTCGTTTTCTTTGCTCTGGTAGCATTACGAAATTTCACGGGTATTTTTCCTTTTGTTCATGTAAAGTGGATAGAGGCAACTTTATTTTATTATGCTGTACAGTATACTGTATATTAAAGACTTACATTAATATTATTATTATTAATTGGATAAGAGTTGTATAGCTTAGTGGTTAAGGGTTCTTGTCCAGTTCCTGTGACAGTAGGATTTTTCTGAATACTAAAAACAACTCCAAGCCTTATTCATAAAAAAAAAAAAAACTAGGGTTGTAAAGCATTGTCTTCCCTGTTAATTGTGAGTTAATTTCTGTTCGATGCCAATGAAATGGAAAACAACTAGTATAATAATTTGTTTATGTATTTTTCTCTGGAGTGCTGGACATAAAGCATGGAAAATGCCACACATCGATGATTGTTCAGAAGCTGAGCCTAGGCTGCCCCCGTCTTGATGCTTTCCTTCATGGTGGTATCCTGTCTCAGGGCATCACTGAAATAGCAGGTGAAAGTGCCTCTGGGAAAACACAGATTTGTATTCAACTTTGCCTCACAGTTCAATGCCCCAAGGCTCTGGGTGGCCTAGATGGAGGTAAATCATAATCATTGTTTAAGTTTTTTTTTTACAAAAAAAAAAAAAAATCAAAAAAAGTTACAAAAATCTTTGACATGAAAATGTACAGGCCTTAATATATAAAAAAAACCATACTGTACTTGTTGATAATGATGATATTATTAATTTTATAATTTGTATACAGTATATTTAACAGACTGCAGATGATAGTAATAACTACTGTATCAGAGTATAGAACTGGAAGAGGTCTGAGTCAGGGTTTCGTTAGAATGTAATCCTATTTCAAAAAGTATTACCAGGAACTAGAGGGCTTCCTTCAAAATGCAAGTTTGGAACTCTATTCAAATTCTAATAGGCGCCCCCTATCTCATGGTAGTACTTTCATACTGTAGTTTTCACACAAAATCAAGGCAGTCGGACATCTTGCAATTCTATACTCTATGGTTATATTAATGATTATTGTTATTAATGTATAAAATAATAACATTATTATAATAATATTTTAAATTAATAATAAAATTGTAAAGTATTTTTAAATACAAAATAACTAAATAGGATAATCAATGATTTCTGTAGGAAAAAAGGTTTATAAACAGTGTAAACTTGAGGATTTGTAATTGTCAAAATACACTGTCACTGTAGTTTGAATAAGAAATACAAATAGACAATATAAACTGTGAAGATTAACACATAGCTCTAGTGTATAAGCATACAAATTGCTAAATTGTGTAATTTCTGTAACTGTATACATATGCACTGAGGAAGATTAAACATAAGTAATGTATATTGTAGGCATGCATACAAATTAATGTATTATATATTTTGCCTGACCGTCTCTAGGAGCTGTATATATATGCACTGAGGACGCTTTCCCAAGCAAACGCCTTCATCAGATGATCCAGATGTTCAACGAAAAAATTGGCAGTGAAATGGCATCAAAACTGAAACTAGGAGATCATATCTATGTAGAACACATATCAGAAATGGTAATGTTTCTATTGCCTTAGGCTCTGGCTATACGATTAAATTTTATGTTACAGATTTAGTGATGTAACCATATATGGGCATGATATATTACATAATACCCTAATCAGACTGCACTTCCTTGCGATCAGTTGCGAAGTAGTTAGTGGTAATCCAAAACTGATTACTCCTGATCGCAACCAACCAAGCGCATTCAGACCAAATCAGACACAAACAACTTTATATTGGAATGGGAAGTCATACAGTATGAGGCTTCCGATGGCTAGACCTATGTTGACTGACCTCAGCCTATCAGTCCCTGTGGAATTTCGTTGTGACTGGATTCCTTGGTAATTGGGAGTAATAAAGATTTTAGCACCCAATCACAACAGGCAACAGTTGTGACATTGATCATTTATCAACTACTGTAAATGAGCTTTCACACATGTGAGTGCGATAGGCTGTCACAATTGCTACAACCAATCGCAATGTGATGCTAGTCTGAATAATGCATATCACAGTTTTTTGTCACATAAAGTTTGATAATCTGTACAGGCCCAATATACCAGTGTTATGTGTGAAAAGTGCATTTTTTAAAATCCAATAATGTAATTTTTTATTTCTTAAAACAAGAGCTTGTTTTTCCTAGAGTGGGTTTTCATAATCTGTCACCTGACAGGCAGTACACATCTCATAGTTTTTTCAGCTCTATATCTGATATATATACATATATATATATACACACATATATATATATATACACAATTTTATTTGATAGATATGTCAGCCCTAATCAATAAACTTTATTCTTTTTTTCAGGATCAGCTGTGGCACTGTATCACACAACGAATTCCAATTCTCCTTACTCGCGGCCTAGTTAAACTGGTCGTGATCGACTCATTAGCTGCGATATTTCGCTGTGAGTACGATTCGCATGAAATAGCCCAACGAGCCAAGCATATCCAGTCTGTAGGGGCTAAACTGAACTGGCTGAGCTCTCAATACGACGTTCCTGTTGTATGTGTCAACCAGGTATTACCTAAGACTATAAAAATATCTTGTTATTATGTAACTGACTCGGGCGATAACCCTACATTTGTCTTTAAAATTCAAATTGTGTTTTTGGTACAATATTTTAAAATCCTATTTGTATTATAATCTTTAAAAATATGTTAATTTTATGAGAAGTAGTTGAGTATTAAGCTCTGTCCCGGTTATAAAATGTGTTTCAGCTGGAGAGCTGAAATGTAGGTTACGATAGAACATCGTCTTTTGGATGAGTCCTGTGTGCATTATGGCCCATGTGCATGTTAAAGAATGCAGTACACTCTTCAGAAAAGAGTAGGGAATTTTCTGCCGGTGTACTGCCCAATCCACCACCGAAATACCCCACTGGAAACAAGTCTTCGGATTGTTACGTGATCGTTGTTATAACTATTTCTGTATAATTACTTTTTTGTTTCATTTCTTAGGTAACAGCAAACATGAAACGTTCCAGTAATCCATTTGAGCCTTCGGTAGTCCCTGCTCTTGGCTTAACATGGGCAACATTTGTGAAGGTCCGTTTAATGATTTCCCGTACCAACTACCGACTAAATGTAGATTCTCAAGGCTCCGAGGAATGTAGGCCAGGCCTGAACCCCACGGAAAGTGTTGTACGCTCTATGGAGGTGGTTTTCTCCCCACACTTGCCCAAGGATAAGTGTTACTTTATCGTAGAACAAAGCGGTGTCATTGGCCTAGCATGAGACTCATTTTATCATTTGTGCTATTTTAATCCAAGAGACATTCTCACAGTTTGACATCATAATTAATCTGCTTGACAAACACATTATTTCATCTCTTGATGCAATGCAGTGGTGTATGTAGGGGTGCGCAAGGGAGGATTTCACACAAGTAAATAAAGCTCCCATCATCAAGCCCTCCCCCAGTCCACCTTCATGCCCTGCCCCCATTAGTCCCCCATTTCAAGAATCCTAGATACTGTTATGTTATAGTGTTATGTATAACCTTTGAAATCATCTAGCCATTTTTTCAATGACCGTTTTTTTTCTCTTGTGGGTTTTGAATCCCACAACTTTGCAGCAAAAGATTTACCAAAGACAATACTGTACTTTAATAAACATTTACAGTATTCATTTAATTAATAGAAACAAATAATAGGCCTAACCAATGCAGTGCCCTCAGCTGGTAGGACTTATATGCAATCAGTAAGCTATTAAAGCTGTTTTTATGAAATGATGCCTCTAAATCACTATCAGAACTGCTGACTTCTTGAATTTGACAGTTGTTACACATGGCAACCTGTACTCTCTATATATAGGCATATCATATACCCTCAAAACTGAACAGAGACTCACTCAAATCCAAGTAATCACTCTTAGACCATAGCATACTGACGCTATATAAATGCCTTTCTGAGAATTGATAACCATCGGTATTTATACATTCATTTATTCAATCATTCATTCATTGAATTTTAGGCACATTTATTTTATTGAGGTAAACTGCACTAATGAATGGAAATACAGAACTGTCAATTTACATTTGCCGTATCAGAATGATAAACAATATGTGTGCAATATTTGTATGTATATGAAATAAAGTACTTTTTATAACCACAAGTTTTCTTTTGGTTTTTCATTACTTTAATATTTTGTTTGAAATGCTGATTCACAAATCTTTAACAAACTAATAATTCACCATTCATCGATCCTTGGAATTTTGTAAAGATATTATTTAACTCAAGTTAGAAGGTGTAAGAAAATGGACCTTCCACTATGCCCCGCCCCTTGGATATTGTTGCTAAGGTCACACAAACGACAATGTTAAAACAAACGCGATCACGTGCGTGCGATTGTGAGTTAATCATAAATTATCTTGTCAAGTCGACATAATATACATATCATGTCGACATGTCGAGATCAACTATCTTGCCAAGACGACATACTAAAAATGTTATGTTGTCATGGCGAGATAGGTTATCTTGACAAATCGACATAATAAAAATTGTATGTTGTCATGGCGAGATAGATTATCTTGTCAAGTCGACATAGTAAAAATGTTACGTTGTCATGATGTTGTCATGGCGAGATAGATTATCTTGACAAGTCGACAATAAAAATTGTATGTTGTCATGGCGAGATAGATTATCTTGTCAAGTCGACATAGTTAAAATGTTATGTTGTCATGGCGACATAATTTATCTTGCCAAGTCGACATAGTAAAAATGTTATGTTTTCATGGCGAGATAGATTATCTTGACAAGTCGACATAATACAAATTGTATGTCGTCTTGGCAAGATAGTTGATCTCGACATGTTGACATGATGTGTATATTATGTCGTCTTGACAACATAAATTATCTTGACAAGTCGTCAAGTCGACTGGCACTTAGGTACTTCCGTATACTATGACCAAGTTGTTATCATAATATGAATTTTAAACTGTAATATTATTAACTGTCATTTTATCTCTCCCTTTATCCCTGTCCTTCGCCATTGCGAATGGTGCGAAGGTCTGGATCCACGCCTGCATGTATTAGGGACTTCAATAGTACACATCAGAGGTAGAGGGTTTTAGTGTGGGTGGTCAGTATTGATTAATAACTAGTTAATACCATAGGCGTAGATCCCGGGGGATGGGGATATATCCCCCCCCCCCCAATATTTGACAAGGGGGATGTTCCATTGTATCATCCCAATATTTTGACTATGTATGGGATAAAATGGAGCTTTACACACTTCAAAAGACTCTCACAGAAATAATTTGCAATGTCTTATGCGCTTACAAAGATGAAAATTAGCATAATGTATTAATGTTTAATTGTTAATTGTTTATTATTACTAATATTACTATTATTATCACTGTTAGTAAATAGTCTTATGCTTTTTCACATTGTTGTATCCAGCCATGAAATTTCCCCGTAGTGGGATGAATAAAGTATCCTGGTATCCTTGTAACTAAGACCAATCAACACATAACATAACACATGTACATAACAAAATTATTATGTTTAAAAATTTCCTCGTCGGTGCGTCCATAAAACGTAATAGGCCTATCTTGGAATTTGAATCCAAAATGATAATGATATTGATAAACAATCGAAATTCTCTGTACTATATTAAGCTAAACATTTACAAAGTGAACTTCCTTATGTAGTGGTCATATTAGACTGTAATATCATTAAAGAATTCCATTCAACAAACAACATAAAACACATACATATCGAAGTTATTATGTTAAAGATCTCGCGTCGATGCATGCATTAAACGTAATTTCCTATGATTTGGATATCAGAGATTCAAGAATTTAACTGTTCTCTGCCCTGTACTATCTATGCTAATTTAGGCCATATAGACCTAAATTGAGCTATGCAAAGTTTAGAAGTTTAGATGTTAAAAGAGAGGACTTCCTTATGTTGTGGTCATAATAGACTGCAATATCATTAAAGACCATTCAACAAACATAAAACATATCAAAATTATTCGGTTAAACTTTTCACTTCGGTAAATGAATATAATGGTAGTTTTGGGGATAGGCCTATATGAGATTTACATGACATTTGAGAATGTACTGAATATAAAATCTTAAATATTTTACATTTTAATCAGTAATCTATCAGAAATACGGCGATTGGTTAAACTGTAAAGCCTTCGGAACCCCTGCAACACTAAAGCTGCAATACAACAGGCAGTGAATATTCCATTTTGATTTAGTGTTGGTTATATGCTTTTAATTTATTTGTATTTTTTTTATTTTGTATGATTCACTTGTTATATTTTCCACAGACAGATAAATGAATGCCTGAACTGATATTTCATGGGTTTCATTACAAAAGAGATATCATAAATTATATAACTATTGTCCGAATGTGTCATAGTTACCAACCTGAAAGGTTTGAAATGCGTGATTTGAAACGCGGGGGGGGGGGGTGCTGGCCCCACCGGGGTTCAGGGTCGGAGCCCGTGGGGGTTCTGGTGGCGAATCCACCTTGCGCTCTGACGATCTGAGCATTTTAAAGCTGTTTTTAAGGAGTGTTTGTGAACAACCGGGTAGACTATAAACAAAAATTTTTCTAAAGCAACGACAATTCGAGTTTCAATGTAGGCCTATGTTTAATTTGAGCACCCGAACTATGTACACGAACATTTCATTACTCAAACAAAAATTAATAGGCTGCGGTTGTGAAAACCTCAGTATCATTCGACACTATTTCTACCCCTCCTGTTATAATCCAACACACCTGATGCTTAATTACTTTGTTTAAAAGCCAACATTTGTTTTTAGTTGGGCTAACGGGCCAATGATAATATCAGAGTATACCTGCAATTAAGCAATTCGTTATAATGTTTTTGGTAATTTCAAATTCTACTTTTTGTTGTGCTACACAACAATATATAGTAAAAAATTCTGTAAATTTAAGCAAAGAATACATAATTATCAATATTTTGTTCAAACCCTAGTTGGTTAAAACAATAAGAAATTGCATTCGGTGTATAATAAACGTTAGTAATATAAACATTAAAATATTTATAATACGCATACTTTATAAGACATTATATAACATAATGCTCTGGTAGATAAACAGATTAAATAGCATTAATTAAATGAAATATATTTGATGATATAGGCATGTTATGCTACCATCAACCGTAACAGATAATTTAAAATAAAAGTTGGAGTAATAAGCGTAGAAGAGAATCACTAATGGGCACTGAATTTATATTTATAATACGCATACTTTATAAGACATTAATTAACATAATGCTCTGATAGATAAACAGATTATCCCCAGGGGATGCGTCTTATCGCCGGCCCTCTTTTCACTATACACTGGTGACTGTATTAGCTCGACTCAAAACCTGAAAATAATTAAATACGCAGATGACATGGTGATCAGTGGATATGTAGTTAATGACGTATATGGCTATAGAGAAGAAATAAATAAATTTGTAAATTGGTGTAATAAAAAATATCTTAACATCAACATTAACAAAACGAAAGAAATGCTTTTTGGTTTCCGAAGAGGAAACAGATCTATGATACTGTAACTATAAATAATGATAATATAGAAATAGTAGAGGGATACAAGTATCTTGGAATTATTGTAGATAACAAACTAAATTGGAACTCACAAACAAATAGTGTATATGGGCAAACAAATAAAAAATTGTACTTTGTAAGAAAATTAAGGAAGTTAAGAGTGGATAAAAACCATTCTTAAGTTATTTTATCAAAGTGTTGTACACTAGTTTTTGGCATAATATGTGCGTACGGTAGTTTCTCAATGACGAACAGAAAGAAATTTGAAAAAAATAAAAAAAAGCTCAAAAATGCATTGGCATGGAATTAGAACCCATAGTAAACATATACAATAGAATGATATTACAAACAGTAGAATATATAATGAAAGATGACACCCATCCACTTCACCATTGTTTCAGTTTTAGTCACTCAGGTTTTAGATTATATGTTCCACGTATTCGACACAACAGATACAGGGACTCATTTGTAATTAACGCTATACGTGTCTTCAACCAAAATGCCAAACGAAAATGAGTGATTTTAATTAGCTTGCAATGCAAATTTTACATTTTAAAATATTTTAAATGAATCTGATTATTAATTATTTTAAATTGTTAGAAAACTTTCCAAATTTTAGTCACTGTTGTCCTTCTGATGTGTTTTAATGTTTTTACAATTTCCATTTTACCTGCGTTTTAATGGACAAATAAAGTTTGATTTGATTTGATTAAATAACATTAATTAAATGAAATATATTTGATGATGTAGGCATGTTATGCTACCAACAACCGTAACAGATAATTTGAAATAAAAGTAGGCGTAATAAGCGTAGCAGAGAATCACTAATGGGCACTGACCTCAAAAGTACTGTAGAAGTACAGAAATCATATTGCAGCTACTTGTGGGAGTTTTTTTGTTTTGTTGATGCAGACAAATATGGGTATATAGGACGACTAGAAAATAGGTGTGATATCGGAATTCCAAGAGAGCAAATATTACAAAGATATCCTGTTTTCTTTCCTCTATTTCTCATGTAAACCCGGATTTAAACATTTTAAAACGTTTCTATGTGTCTTTAGGCTTCATTAGTACTGTATCGCGAAGCATCAATAGTCAATTATTCAATTGATTGAATAACGCTTTTGTATCATCGGCACACCTTTATAGTGTAACATTACAACGATTAGACAACAACTAATTGGTAGGCCGATAGAAAAAGCATAAAATAGGAATTAGAAAATAAAACCATAAGCAGAACCATGCTGATCGACTTTTAGTAACGCGTCAGTGAATTAAGTACCGTATTCAATTCACAAAATACTGTACTTACATGACTGCGTGCGTGTTTGATGCTAACTGACAACGTAGCATAAGCAACGGTTGGGTGTGACAATGAACGCGCAAGACCGCACGCGTCTCCAAAGCTCTCGGTTTGATTACGAGATAAAGCTCTTAAATCTCTCTAATGACTCAAGTTACTACACGACAGTTTTATATTTTTAATAAAACTAATTTCTTCTAATTTTAAATACATGTTCCCCTGAATCCATGATTATTCGTTATCATGGACTTGTACTAAATGCGTGACAAATTTATGATC